TGGACTATTTTTATGTAAATGGTATTTTTTTCCAATTACATGCAAAAATAGTTTTCAACATTCATTTTTTATAGGATTTTGAGTTCCAAATTTTTCTCCCTCCTCCCCCTCCCCCTCCTCAAGATGGCAAAGCAATCTGATACAGGTTATACATATGCAATCATGTTAAACATATTTCCATATTAGTCATGCTATAAAAGAAGAAACAGAACAAAAGGGGGAAAACATGGAAAAAAACAAAGAAAGTAAAAATAGTATGCTTCCATCTGCACTCAACCTCTATCAGTTCTTTCTCTGGATGTGTATAGCATTTTCCATCATGAGTCTTTTGGAATTGTCTTGGATTCATGCTTGGACTATTACAATAGCAGGCTGGCAACTCTGCATACCACATTTCTCCTCAATCCAGTTCATCCTCCACTCAGCTATCAAAGTAATCTTCCTAAAGAGTAGATCTAACCATATCACATACACACAACTTCTCTCTCTCTCTTCTCTCTCTCTCTCTCTCTCTCTCTCTCTCTCTCTTTCTTTCTTTCCCCCAACATCAAATAGAAAGTCCTCTGTTTGGCATTCAAAGCCCTTCATCACCTGCCCCCCTCTCCTACCTTCCCAGTGTTCTTATATTTTACACTCCCCAAGCTCCAAGCCAGTAGCTCCTCAAATAAGATACTCCATATCTTGTCTCCAGGCATTTTACCTGGCAGTCCCCTCTACCTGGAATGCTCTCCATCTTCATCTACGCCTTATGGCCTTCCTGAATTCCTTTAAGTCCCAGATAAAATCTCACATACAAGAAGCTTCTCATCATCCCTCTCAATTCTAGCACCTTCTCTCTATTGATTATCTCCAACTTATCCTGTTTATAACTTGTTTGTAATTTAGTCTACCTTAATAATATCATTTACATATCATCTCTCTGATTAGACTGAGAATTCCTTGAGAGCAAAGATTGTCTTTTATCTTTCTTTGTATCCTTAGTGCTTAGCCCAGTTCCTGGCACATAGTAGACACATAATAAACATTTATAGACTGACTTATTGTCTCATTTCATATATCCAATCTGTTGCCAAGCCTTGTCATTTCTACCTTCATTACATCACTCACATACATCCCCTTGTGTTCACTCACACAACCACCACACTGCTAGAAGTCCTTATCACCTTATGCCTAGACTATTGAAATAGGTATCTGATTGGTCTTCCTACCTCATGTCTCTCTTCACTTCAGCCCATCATCTACTTCCTGTGAAAGTGACCTTCCTAATGCTAATCTAATCATGTTGTGGTCCTAGTCAATAAATTCCAATGGCTTCCTATTACCTCTATGATAAAATATAAAGTTTAGCATTTAAAGCTGCTCATAACCTTGCCACTTCCTGCCTTTCCAGTCTTCTTACACTTTACTTTCCTCCAGATATTCTATGTTCCAATACTGGCCCACGTGACGCTCCTCACACATGACTCTCAGGAAGAATTTCTCAGGCTCTAGTCATTTTCACTGGCTGTCACCCCTGCCTCAAATACACTCCTTCCTCACTCCCATCTCTTATTTTCCAGGACTTTCTTCAAGATGACTTAAATCAGGAGCCAAGATGGCGGAGTGAAAGCGGTGACTTGCTTGAGCTCTCCTCCAAACCCCTGCAAATACTCATAAAAAATAGCTCTAAACAAATTCTGAAGCAGCAGAACCCACAAAAAGACAGAGTGAAACAAATTTCCAGCCCAAGACAACCTGGATGATTGATCAGAAAGGTGTATCACGCAGGGCTGGGAGCACAGCACAGCGCGGCATGGGCACGCAGGCCACAGCAAACCTGGAGCAGGCCTCAGAGGACTGAATCTCGGGCAGCTGTGGAGGTTTCTAGACTCCTCAATCCACCAATGCCAAAGACAACTTAGAAGGTCAGTGGGAAAAGTGTTTCTGTCGGTGCTGAGAAAAGAAAGCAGGGTTTCAGCTCCATTCCCCAAAGACTGGGGGGGGGGGGCAGCTGTTTTGGCCCACAGACTGAGGGGGAATCCAGTGGCTGATCAGAGAGGCATTGCAGGGATCTCTTTGCCAGTGCTGAGGCAGGAATCTCTTGCTTTGCCCGTGTTTGGATCTGGGCCACAGTTCTGGGCAGCGGTGCTAGGGTGAGGAGGAGCGCTGGCTTGGTGGAGCTTGTAGTGGCTGTGGAGAGGACCCTCCTCACAGTTACAGGACAGAAAGGAGTACTTGTAGTCACAGGCCAGGAAAGGAGTAAACACCTGCCCCTTATCATACCACCTTGGAAGAACTGAAAATTTACAGGTCCCTACAAGTATCTCTGAAAACAGCTGTACAAACCCCAAAGCTTGGGACAGTACATTCTCCACATTGGAAGCAGATTCATACCTTAACAAAGAGTTTAAAACTCAATTAGCTGGGATCATGAGCAAGCAGTGCAAAAAGAGTCAGACTATATTATCTTACTTTGGTGAAAAAGAAGATCAAAATATACAACCAGAAGAAGACAACAAAGTCAAAGCTCCTACATCCAAAGCCTCCAAGAAAAATATGAATCAGTCCCAGGCCTTGGAAGAGCTCAAAAGGGATTTTGAGAAGCAAGTAAGGGAAGTAGAGGAAAAACTGGGAAGAGAAATGAGAGTGATGCAAGAAAATCATGAAAAACAAGTCAACAGCTTGCTAAAGGAGACCCAAAAAAATACTGAAGAAAATAACACCTTAAAAAATAGCCTAACCCAAATGGCAAAAGAGGTCCAAAAAGCCAATGAGAAAAATGCCCTAAAAAGAAAAATTGGCCAAATGGAAAAGGAAGTCCAAAAGATTACTGAAGAAAATACTTCCTTAAAAATTAGAATAGAGCAATTGGAAGATAGTGACTTTATGAGAAATCAAGACACTGTAAACAAATCCAAAGAATGAAAAATTAGAAAACAATGTGAAATATCTCATTGGAAAAACAACTGACCTGGAAAATAGATCCAGGAGAGAGAATTTAAAAATTATTGGACTATCTGAAAGCCATGATAAAAAAAAAGAGCCTAGACATCATCTTTCAAGAAATTATCAAGGAAAACTGCCCTGATATAGTAGAACCAGAGGGCAAAATAGAAATTGAAAGAATCCACAGATCTCCTCCTGAAAGAGATCCCCAAAGGAAAACTCCTAGGAATATTATAGCCAAATTCCAGAGTTCCCAGGTCAAGGAGAAAATATTACAAGCTGCCAGAAGGAAACAGTTCAAGTACTGTGGAAACACAATCAGGATAACACAAGATTTAGCAGCTTCTACATTAAAGGACCACAGGGCATGGAATATAATATTCCAGAGGGCAAAGGAGATAGGATTACAACCAAGAATCACCTACCCAGCAAAACTGAGTATAATCCTTCAGGGGAAAAAATGGTCATTCAGTGAAATAGAGGACTTTCAAGCATTCTTGATGAAAAGACCAGAGCTGAATAGAAAATTTGACTTTCAAATACAGGACTCAAGTGGAACATGAAGAGGTAAACAGGAAAGAGAAATCATAAGAGACTTATTAAGATTGAACTGTTTACATTCCTGCATGGAAAGATGATATTTATAACTCATGAGACCTTTGTCAGTATCAGGGTAGTTGGAGGAAAAAAATTATATGTATGTATATGTAGATAGATAGATAGAGGGCACAGGGTGAACTGAAGATTAAGGGGTCATATCTTGGAGAATAAAATTAAGGGATGAGAGAAGATTATACTCAGAGAAGAAGAAAGGGAGAGGTAGAATGGGGTAAATTATCTCACAAAAAAAAAACAGAAAAGTCCCTTACGGTGGAAGGGGAAACAGGGGAAGGTGAGAGGGAATGAGTGAATCTTATTCTCATAGGATTTGGCTTAAAGAGGGAATAACATACACATTCAATTGGGTATGGAAATCTGTCTTACCCTACAGGAAAACAGGGGGAGAAGGGGACAAGAGAGCAGGGGGATGATAGAGAGGAGGGCAGATTGGGAAAGGGGGTAATCAGAAGTAAATACTTCTGAGGAGGGACAGGGTCAAAAGAAAGAATAGAATTAATGGGAGAGCAGGATAGGATTAAGGGAAATAGAGTTAGTTTTTCACAACATGTCTACTATGGACATGTTTTGCATAACTGCACACGTACAACCTATATTGAGTTGCTTGCCTTTTCAATGAGGTGGGTGGGGAGGGAGGAAGACAGAAAATTTGAAACCTAAAGTTTTAAAAACGTATGTTTTTTAAAAATGTTTTCACATGCTACTGGGAAATAAGAAATATAGGAAATGGGGTACAGAAGTCTGTCCTGCCCTACAGGAAAATAGAAGGGGAAGGGGATAAGAGAAGGGGAGAGAGATAGAAGAGAGGACAGACTAGGGGAAGGGATATTCAGAATGCATGACATCTTGGGGTGGGGGAAGGGGGAGATGGGGTGAAAATTTGGAACTCAAAAACTTGTGGAAGTGAATGTTGAAAACTAAAAATAAATAAATTTATATTAAAAAAATAAAAATAAAAATAAATTAAAAAAATAATAAATAAATGAGGGTAACAAAAAAAAATATGACTTAAATCAGGCCAGCTAGGTGGCACAGTGGATAAAGCGCTGGCCCTGAAGTCAGGAGGACCTGAGTTCAAATCTGGCCTCAGACCAAACACTTGACACTAGCTGTGTGACCCTGGGCAAGTCACTTAACTCCAATTGCCAAAAAAAAACCATAGCTTAAATCCTACCTTCTATAAAAGACCTTTCTAGGTCCCCCCCAACTGCTAGTGCTTTCCGTCTAAGATTTCTCTATATATATTTGGTATGTATGCAGTTGTGTGCATGTTTTCACACCCCCCACCCTATTAGCCTGTGAACTCCTCCAGAGCAGAGACTGTATTTTGCCTTTCTTTGCTTCCCAGAGCTTAGCACGGTGCCTATTACTAATGTTTAATAAATTCTTGTTGACCAGCTGACAGATTGACGTAGGGTGTAAGGGCCTCTTCCTCACTGTAAACTTTAAATCTTTCCGCCGCTACAGAGGCAGTTGTCACAGGAAATGTGAACCAGATACTACTTTCTATTCATGGCACAATTTCAAAATAGGAGCTTGTCTGAGGGTTCAGGCCGGGGCTCAGGCGGAGGCTCAGGATCATGATGCTTCTACTGCAATGGCTCGTAGTCATCCTCTGTTTACAAATAGGTAAGTGTTAACCGGGATATTTTTGGAGGCTGAACTCTCTACTTGGAATGGGGAAGCTCCCCACCAATGGCTTTGCAGAGGCAGTTTGTCCTGTCCTTATCACTGGAGTGGTTCCATGTCAAGGAGCTATGATCTTTACTTGGTGCTGTCTCCTCTCAGCCTTGGCTGTAAGAGAAGGTCACTGAGATGGAATCAAATTATTTTAATTGTGCCTGCATTACTGAGAAAAGGGGAAAGCTGAATCCATGGGACCCAAAGTCCTATGAGGAGTAGCTGCGTAGGGGAAATGAATTTGGTTGTCTCTGAACAGGATATGCTAGTTAAGCCCTGAGACTTAGAAATTCTAGCTCTAGGAGCAAAGTTGTTGGAAAAGGCCTCCATCAAGTTCATTAATTGCAAATGTAGCAGATTTCTTACTTCAGCAACCTGTAATTTCCTTTGACTTCTCCCAATGTAGAGCAAAACCTCTCTATTCTTTCAGTTTTGTCTTTGTATTCCCCTTTCCTGACACACAGAAAGTATTTCATAGAAGCTTGGTAACTCATATGACTTAATAGCTTCTCCAGAAGTTGTTGAGGCCCAAAAATTAATCATCCTGTATCTAACCTAATGCCAAGCTCCTCCAAATTTATCTAGACTGGTACTTGAATGACAGAAACTCACTCTGTCACGAAGCTGTTTCAGATCTCCAGCTCCTTCATTAAGGCAATGCCAAGAGTTTGGGGAATATACAGGAACTAGGTGGCATAGTCACTGGTCACTGGACCTACAGTGAAGTAGACCTAAGTTCAAATTCAGCTTTGGCCACTTACTAGCTATGTAATGCTTCAACAAGTCACTCAACCTCTGTCTGACTCAGTTTTCTCAACAGTAAAATGAGGACAATAATAGCACCTACTTCCCAGTATTGTGAGAATCAACTGAGATGTTTATAAAGTGCTTTGTGAACCTAAAAGTGCTATTAAAAAAAAGTATGAAGAGAGGATACCAGATAACCTGCAACAGCCTGCTCACTTTGGTTTTTAGCTAATTCTCTCCTATTTTTTTCATTTTGTCTGGTAGACCAAAGCTACGTAAGTGACTGATGTTCAGCTATCCACCCACTACTATTCCTGTCATAAATAGTTGGTCTCCTGGGACCTCTTCAGCTTGTAAAGTTTGGAGGGGCTGATTTTTATTGTTCAGTTGTTCAGTCATGTCTGACTCTTTGTAAGCCCATGGACCATACTGTGCATAGAGTTTTCTTGGCAAAGATACTGGAGTGGTTTGCCATTTCATCTCCAGTGTATTAAAGCAAAAAGAGGTTAAATGATTTGCCGGGGTCATACCACAGCTAGTGTCTGAGGCTGGATTTGAATGCAGGTCTTCCTGAATCCAGATGCAGCCCTCTATCCATTGAACCATCCAGCTGCTTGGATAGTTGCTATTAATCAATCAATAAACATTCATTTTGCTCCTACTGTGTTCCAGGACCTCTGAGAGGCACTGGGGATATAAAAACAAAATAGAGACAATATTTGCTCTCTGGGAGTTTAGTGGAGGAAAACAAGATGTTCACCAATAAATACATGCTAGCTAGGTTGCATAGTGGATAGAGGACTTCACCTGGAGTCTACATATAGCTATTATATCCTCCAAAATATAGGGAATGAATGAAGGAGGGGATACGAACAACTTGGGGGACTGGGAGAGATCTCATGTAAGAAAGAGGTGACACTGGAGCTGAGCTTTGAAGAGAGTTACAGGTTCCAAGAATCAGGCATAAAATACCTGAAATGTCATCAGGGACAGACCATGTGATGTCACAGAAATGGGAGACTGAATATCATTTGAGGGGAACAACAAACAGGCCAGTTTGGCTAGAAAATAGAATACATCAATGTTTTAGAAATAGCAGTTTGGAAACTCTGTAGAAGGTAGATCAGAGAAGGAACAAGACTGGCTGCAGGCAGACCTAATGAAAGGTTATTGCAATAGCCTGCAATAGTCTTCACAGAACAAATCCCCTTAATAAAAGGATTTGTTCTGTAAACTTGGACTCAGTCAAAAGGCTGCACCCAAGGACCTAGAGGGCCACAGGTTCCCCAGACCTGGAACTCTAGACAAGGGGCAATGAGGGCTGTGACTAGGGTGGTGGTGGTGTGAGTAGAAAGAAGGGGAAGAATACAAGATGTATTGAGGTGCTGGAACTGACTTAGCACCTGATTGGATATAGGGTGAGGGCATGTTGTGGTTAGAGAGAGTAAAGAAGCCAGGATCAAGCAACCAAGAAGTAATTACTAAGTGCTGAATACTTAAAACTTAAATACTTAATACTTAAATTAAGCTTACTACCTAAAACTCAGTGACAGGCACTGAGTAAAGAAAGGATGACCCGTAGGTTGCAACTTGAGGAACTGGAAGACCAATGATGCTTTCAATAGAAATTGGGAAGTTGTAAAGTGGGAGGAGTGGTGAGAGGAAGGATAACTCATTCTTTTTGGGGTATAGTGACATCTAGGTGCACATGGGACATCAAGCAGGCAGCTGGTGGTCCTCAGCTGGAAATCAAGAGAGAGATGAGGGCTATATATGCAGACATGGGAGTCATTTGAACAGAGAAAATAATAGAGTGTGTTAGAGTTGTAGATACTGTGAAGAGAAAGAATTGAATGTATAGAGAGAAAAGGAGAGTTCCCAGTACAGAACCTTACTCACAGAGATCAGATACTAATAAGAAGCCTGCAGAGGAGACAGAGAAAGATTGATGATACAAAGTGGCATCATGAAAATGCAGGGAGGGACAAATGTCTAGAAGAAGATGGGGAACAACAGTAACGAATGCCAAAAAAATCCAAAAAGGCAAGGACTGAGAAAAGTTCACTGGATTTAGCAAAAAGGGGTCACTGGTGATCTTTTGGAAAGCACTTCCATTGAGTAACAGGGACAAAAGATAAAATACAGGAGTTGAGAAGTTACTGGAAGGTGAGAAAATGGAAGCAACACAATGTATTAGGGGTTCTTGGCCTGTGGACCAGTTTTTTAATTATATTTTAATAGTTGTATTTCAACATAATTGGTTCTACATATTTTATTTTATGTATTTAAAAGATTTTTTTCTAGGAAGGAATATACACCACCAGACTGCCTTAGGAGCTCATCTCACTCACACACACACACACACACACACACACACACACACACACACACACATCATTAAGAACCTTTCATATAGACAGTTTTTCCTAGGAGATTGCCTGTGAAAGGAAGATCAATACCTTGAGGAGATGTTTGGGTGGAGTTTAAGGATGGGAATTCTGAGCATGTTTGAAGCATTAAGGAAGGAATCAGTGAATAAAGAAGTTGAAAATTAGGGAGCAAGAAGGGATAATCAAAGGTATAAGCCGGAGGCAACTAGGTGGCACAGTGGATAGAGCACCAGCCCCGGAGTCAGGAGGACCTGAGTTCAAATCCAGCCTCAGACACATAATACTTCCTAGCTGTGTGACTCTGGGCAAGTCACTTAACCCCAATTGCCTCACCAAAAAAAAACCCCAAAAAACCAAAGTATAAACTGCTAAAGGAGATGGTAGGTGATGAAATCAAGGGCACAAGTTTGATATCAAGAAGAACTTCTGCAGTTGTGGTTTGTCCTTTATTCTCGAAAAGGACCCTCAAAAAGGATGGTGACTTCAGGAAGATGATGCCTTGACTTGCAACTGAATTGGATTTGAGGGAGGGAAGGCTGTGCAAAGTCACCAGCCTCACTTTCTCCTCCCACAAGAACTTCTAAGACTAGAACAAAAAAGAAGATATTGGGGGGTGGGAGGGGATGCTGAGATGATTTGAAATACATAATTTAAAAGAAATGTAATCATCCATTTTTTTTTCAGTGAAATTTAAGTGTGATCTTTGGTTGAGGATTAGGGGAGATGGTGATTTAGATGGTTTGAAAAGAGAAGACTTGGAATAGCTGCTGTGAGGAGTCGATCAGGAAACAGCAATTAGTTCCAGAGAAAATAGGAGGGGATAGAAATGGTTGTATAATTTCCTCAAGCAGAGTAACATCCAGCATCATGTAAACAAGAGTGGTTGAGGTCAATGGTAAGAGTAATCTGAGACTGGGGGAGTGAAAAAAAATGAGTAGCAATAGGACAAATGTTCAAGGGATTCAAGAATTTAAAACAGGATAAATTTGAATTGCTACACTTCTGCTACAACCTCAGAACAGGAGCTTCTGCTTACCTCCCATCCAATCAAAGAATACACCCATTATGGGTGTCTGGGGAGCAGAATTAGTGCCTCTGTCTCTAGGATGAATGAAGATAATGCTGAGTTCTTAAAAGCTGTGCTAGCTAAGCATAAGCTCTGGATGTTCCTATTAATCTAGAATAGCTTCAAGAACAGACTTAGGGGCAGCTAGGTGGCACAGTGGATAGAGCACTGGCCCTGAAGTCAGGAGGACCTGAGTTCAAATCTGACCTCAAACCAAACATTTGACACTTACTATCTGTGTGACCCTGGGCAAGCCACTTAACCCCAATTGCCTAAAAATTTAAAAAAGAACAGGCTTAGTACACTGTCTATCTGTTACCCAAGGACCAACCTAAATTCAAAATCATGATCAAGATGGCCACAGAATGATGAGGATTTTTCTTTTGACCAAAGAAATTCATAAAAAAAAAATCTTAATGAATGAGGGCAGGGATCAAAGGTGAGAAAGAGTAACGAAGGATCAATCAACTGAGAGGTATTTATTAAATGTTTACTATGTGGCTACTGTGTGAAGAAGTAGGCTGCACCCTATGTCTATAGAATGCACATAGTGAGAGTACTGGAGTGTCACCAGGAAGATCCTATTTCAAATCCTACCTCAGATACCCAAATTTGTTCCCATGGGAAAGTCACTTAATCTCTTTTCTTAACTCAATTTCCTCATCTATAGAATGGAGATAATAATGGTTCCTACATCCTAAGGCTATTTTAAGGATAAAATGTTATAGTTAAAGCACTTCACAAAT